TGGAGCAAAAACACATCACCCTTGTTTGCGACATATTGCGGTGATAGGTTCTATACTCGATAGATATTGTTGTCCAGATATTCTCTTATTTGAACTAGCTCGATAAACATGTCCATTCTAGGCGAGCTCCTCCAATAGCACTGCCTATCCATATGGCAGGACGAACGGCACCTTCATGTGTCTCAAAGCCGCTTCAGGGCCATCCTCTATCGAGGATTCAGGATCAGACTCCTCCACTTCCTCATCAGAGTCAGACTCAGAATCGGAATCATCCTCAGCTCCTACTCCGAAATCTTCTTCCAAGAATGCGTTTTCTAGCTCTCCCTCTATAGGGGTCCTGTTCAATGGGTTCCTCTTCCAAGTTCTTTTCCCACTCTTTTTCTGGATCCTTCTCTAGATCCTCCTCCTAATCAATAGGTTCTTCTATAAGCATCTCAGGTTCCTTCTCCAACCATCCATTCTGATTTTGGTTTGCCATCTACAAAAATCAAAATTTCACTTAGTAACTTACAAAAGTGCTTACTATAACCACTAATAAGTTGTTTAACAAGTACGCTTACGGTTTCCCAAGGTCTCAAGGGTTTCTCAACCTAAGCTCTGATATCAAGTTGTGACGCCCCAAAATTTGAGGGCATCATGTTTAAAACTTAAAATCAATTTTTCTTAATTAAGAACTTCTAATCATTGTTGCCACCAAGTTTGCCATCATTCATTAATTAACAAAACAGAAATTGAAAGTTCTTAAATTACAACTCCAAATCAAACTTAAAGAATGGTCTTAGTACATTCATGACAAAAAAACACAAATATAAAAAATAAAAATAAAGAAGAAAAGAAAAAATAGAGAAAACTAGACAACTCAAGAAAGGGGTTCATGAGACTAGGGCACACCTCAAGTTAACCAAGGTTGAACGTTGCCTTTCCAAGACCTCGGTGTTTCCTTCGGTTCCTGGCATAAAATGCCAGGGCAACGGGAATGCCAATGAGCGATGAGCTCAATAAGATACTACAATCCGAAAATACCTACCCTAATAATAATACTCACAAATAATGAATAGTGTGTAGTAACAGATTAACAAGCAGCGTTTAATAAAATAAGCATAACAGGAATGCTAGTAGTTGAAATAATAACAACAGATAAAAGAATATTTCCAGCACATGCGGGCCGTCCTCAAAAAGCGTGCCAAAATTCTGAAGTCACCTATTTTGCTAGAAAAGTATAAAAAGAGGAAGAAGTACGGGGCGTAAAACAAAAAAATAAAAGAAAAAGTAAGGCCATTCCATATCGACAAAGACCCACACCCAAGTTCCATAGCTTTTGGTCCGCTATCCCGATCATGAATTTCCTACCCCTAGAGGGAAAAAGGCTATTCTAGGGTTCGAATATATTCTGACGAAAGAAAAAAGCTAGGGTTTTGAGAACGAAAATGTTGCAGCTTCAAGGTTGTCTTCCATAGCGGCTTCATCCTCTACCTCTTCCCACTCCTCCATAAGTGGCTAGTTCTCCTTTTTCTAGGGTTTTGATGAAACCCTAGCCATATAAATACAGTTTTAACTAGGTTTTGATTATTTGAAAGGTTTAAGCAAGTTGTATAAGTGTTTTAGAAGTTTTAATATCACGTCTTCCTATCTCTTTTAGTATTCTTTTTGTGACTAAATAATGTTTTTCATACAATAGTTTTCTTTGTGTTGTATTCAAAGTATGAGATGAGTCATGCTACAAGAGATGAGTCATGTTGCTACTTTAGTTTAGAGCAAACAACTCATACTACTTAAAATGATTCGTGCCTATACGTTGAACGCAACAACAATCCTCTTGATCAATGTTTCAATGTTTCAAACTTGTAATTATGAAACATTGGGTAGTTCAAACCGGATTGCAATTAATGGCCGATGTTAAACCCTATTTATGCGACTAGTGGTGGATTCTTTGCTCTAGGATTTTGCCCAAATCAATTTCATAAACTTTAATATTTATTGCTAGTATAATTCTCAATTCTCATTTTTATCAAAATTAATTTAGGAATCTAGCAAGCTGAATTAGTTTAATTTTACATTAGTCCCTGTGGATTGATACATGGACTTGCCATTATTCTAAAGAATTTAGGTATAGTGTTTATTTTTGGTGTGCTTAACGACCCATCACAATCTAATGACCATCTTATTCCAAATATCATTGACCAAGGTCACTGCTATGATGGAACAAATGAAAACGAGAACACGAAGATATACATGTTCTTGGCTATAAATCTACGTCCGCAGGTGAAGAATTGAAGGAGAAACTATCTCTCTCTCAAGGCCGTCTGTAATAAGAGTTCACTCTAATCTCATAACCCTAATCACCGAAATAAACCATAATAAATACTGAGATCCCAATACAACGAGAATTGGGTCAGACCTCGGGTCATGTGGGTCACAAAGCAGGTCATAAGCACAAACCGGGTAGGATATGAGACACCCACAACAACAAAACCAAAGATTACAAAATTCAACACTCATGGGTCATTCATATCCTTAATAAGGGGTCTATACATGTGACTTAATTGGACAGTGTGCAAGCATTCTCTTTTTTCTATTGATTTGAAGAGACTCAACATAAGGGGTCTATACATGTGACTTAGTTGGACAGTGTGCAAGCATTCTCTTTTTTCTATTGATTTGAAGAGACTCAACATATGACTGGACAAGAGACTTCACATCACAAGTTACAACTCACAATAATGACTAATAGTTGTATCTATGGGTCACAATGTATGTTTTTTACACGGGGATATATTTCCCTAGACTACTTTGCATTATCATGATTAAGCAAACCCGTATCGTTGGTTTGTTTGATAAATGCTTCTCAGCCACAAAATCAATAGAATAATTGTTACAAATTAATTTAGAATTTATGTTACATATGTTAGAAGTCTGTATTCATGTATTAGAGTCTTGGGATTTGTAAGAGTAATGTGGTTAGGTTCACAATGTATGCATATGTGAAGGTATATGTAATGATCTAATGTTTGAGAGTCTTAATGTATCCAAAAAAACTCTATCTTATACAAGGAAGAAGAAGAAATTTAGCCATCTCCACAAGCCTCTACTTTAGACATAGGTTTGTTTTGAGTTTTATTTATTGTTAGTGCCCAATATGTTTTGCCAGCGTCCAAAATGCTATGATGAGTTCCTAGGAGGAATGAGTCATTATATTTTCAACATGATATCAGAGCTACAAGGATCCGAGCCAACAAGTCTAAAAGTTGTGCACAATTGCTAGAGCAAGGACCAACCACATAAGATTACTCCAAAGTGAGAGAGAAACCATGGGCTGTGGGGAAGGGGCCCATGAGTTGGTAATGAGGCTCATGAGTTGGTCACACAAAAAAGTGACAATTTTGCAAACCATTGTAGAGTTGAAAGCAACGGTAGTACCAGAGGGCTCTGTTATCAGAATCTTACCAAAGGCCTTCATCACCTCATGGAAGTCTACTGCTACATTGTAATGTCAAAGCAACATATCAAAAGAAAATGGTCACCCTATTCCATGACATGATTCTAGGCAACAACTTACCAGTATTTCAAGATTGCCGAGATTTTGGGTTGGGAACCCAAACAGAGTACCCATAGTTTCATTTTTCAATGGATGGTGGCTTTTCATTGAGTTGTTGTGTCTTCTTCTCTCTCTGACATAACAATGAGAGTGCGTGAAGACTTTTGTGCTACAAATTACAGTGTTGTTCGATCATCCTAACACACTACACCATGAATCATTTGTTGCTCATTGTTAGAAAAATAATTTGGTGTTCCCCAAATTAGTTGAGTCAATTTTTTTTATTCGAAAATTCTTGTGTAAAAATTAAATTTTTTTTTTGATGTTCAATTGACTTTTCTCTTCATTAACTGTAAGGACAAATATAAAACATCACAAGAACCTAACTTTCCAAGTCCTTTTGCTAACTTCTTTAGTTTTAAAATCTTCAATAACTCTATATTTTGCTTTCATTGGTCGATTTAACCCTGATACTACATCATTGAAGGGGTAAAACACTACATGCAGTAAATTTCATTGTCAACCACTGCTGCTGTAAACCATATCCGTTTAACTAATTGCACACACACAGCGTGTTCAAAGTCGGATTGACAGAAAGAGACAGTGTATCTCTCCAAATTTATGTCCCATGAAAATTGAGTGCTTCCTGTTTGGGAAGGAGTTAATCAAATACAATATGTGAATGAACCTGTGACAAGAGAATTCTTGGGTTTCAAGAAATAATCTCCTTGGTAATTGTACCAAAGGTTTGGTTTGGGCATAGGCCTTCATAAAGTGGTTAAGTGTTCAAGGGAGGTCATCTACAAAGAATTGATTTAAAAGATGGTATTGTTGATGATATTTGTTGTGTGTTAAGCAACAAAGATGAGGAGAATCACTATCATATATTCTTTGAATGTATGTTTTCCAAACATATTTGGAAGCAAATGTTGGATAGGAATCAGATTATGAGGAACCCCTTGAAGATGGATTAAGAGTGTTTTTGGGTAGCCCCACCATAGGCGAAAGAACAGTCCTTTTATCATTCAATCAGCAAGTAATCATTTTGTTGCCCCTATATATCATGTTTGGATTGAAAGGAACACCAGAATTTTTTGGAGGAATGAATAGGCATAATTGTAACCTATGGAAATTTCTTTTAAGGTTCTGTTTGTCTTTATTGCTTTGATTAGATGGTTTCTACTCGTTTTCTTGTCTTGATTGCTTTTAAGGTTCTTTGAGACTGTTGTTTCTTTGTTTGTTATGGGGTATGCCTTGTTTTGTTGTTTTTGTGCAATAAAACTTATAAAAGTAATTTACCAAATAAAAATAATCCATTGTAATTAAGTTTTACGTTGTTGAACTAAAATTTGTTAAAAAAAATTAATTGACTATTCTCAGAAACTCCACAACGATTCTCAGAAACCCTATAGAGTCCAGCAAGCCAGTAAATAGCTTTAAGTAATGCAGGGAAAAAATTACTGACCTCATCAAAATCAACAAAAAAATGTGTGAAAACCCCGCCATAAACCACACCTGCCAGGGGAAAAAGCTAATCATTAAATAGAATTACATCTAGAAAAATAAAAAGGAAACAATAAACAGTTTTAATTGAAGGATATAGTGAAGGAAAATTTCCAAAATCTGGTAGAAGAATTCTTTTACAAAATTGGATCACTAATTGCACCACGAAAAATAAATCGAACTATCAAAGGCACTGCAAACTTGATGCCCTCAAGCAACTTTTTTCATGTTCTTCTGTGGTCTCCCGAGCTAGTGTACATACTTTGTGAACCAAATTTTCAATATTATGTTTGTAAGTTCCATCTACCTATCCATATGCATCAGGTTAAAAACAGATAGTATAAAAGAAAAATTACAAATCGGTATGGCTTAAAGATAGGGTGAACAACATGCATGTCCAAGTAAGAATAAACATAATGCAAAACATTCTTCTTAACTGATGTGTTTGATTTTGTACTTCGATTTCAACTGCATATTTTCTTTTGTGTCTAGTTACTATACAAATAAAAGAACTACTTAAAATAAAAGATCAACAGCATGTTCTTTAAGTTGTTCAGACTTCTATTTCCCAATCCCTGCAAGGCTGAGCCCATTAAAAGCACCACCCATGCACCATAATGAACACCAGAATTTATCACTGAATATGGAGAGAACTCCAACCCTCCAACTATTTGCAAAATTTTCCAAAGTTTATTTTCCAGTGGTCTACTGTTAAGCATTAACACAATCAACAAATGACAAGATTTAATTCCCAAAAGACATAGTGCCCTAGTAAACATCCAATGTAACTGACTTTTTACTTTTACCTAGAAAGCAACACACTCATGCAGGTTTTCTTTGAATCATTTAGGTAACAGTATCAACAAGTAAAACTAAAACTGATATATTGAGAAATTCTTTTCTGCCATTAACACTATGTTTGAATCTTGGATTTGTGGCTGGAAACAAAAGGAAAGGGAAAAAAAAGCTAGGAACATAAAATGAGGTAAATGAGTAGATATTTGTCAAAAAAAAACTCCTTTTTCTTTTTCTTTTCTTTTTTTTTTTTGCTTACCCATAAAAAATGAATATACAAATTTGATTTCCCTTCCATTCCATTGTCCAATCCCTTGACAAATCCAAGCTCAAAACATAGCATAGCATAAAAGAAGAAACAATCTGATATGTAGATACATGACAAAAAATTTCAGCTCAGATTCTTGGTATTGTACCACAGGTGACTAATGTTGGAATCAATGTCATATCATATTCAGCATAATATCACAAATGTTCATCAAGACACCTATTCACGTACTTCGACAATAGTTGGGCCTTTGCACTGTTACGGCGCCCACTTATCCTCGTCTGGTACGGCTCTTCTACCAGAACATGTACGAGTCGCTCACTAGTGTAGAACTTCTGTCCATTATTGATGGCCATATCGTCAGCATAACAGAATCCATGATTGAGCAAGTGTTAGGTTGAGGGTCGACAACCCATACACCGCCTCATCTAAGAGTACTTCCCGAGGGCCCACGATGACGCAAGTTACACGTGCTTGCGCCCGAGCAAGCTGACTGGACACTTATTATTCATTGACTCAGTAATACATAAGAATGCCCTTCCACTTGGGCATAAAGCTGAGAGCCTAATGGAGTTTGTCCGGGTCCTACATGGTTATCAGGTACCCGCTTGAGCACGTGATCTGGATGCATATGCACAAATTATCGCTTGGCCCCTGCCATTTGTCAACTTGCTCACACTTCTCTTCGAGCTGAACGGCCTACTAATTGATTTGACTGAGGAGATCGACACTGCTTATCCGACTTTCGGGCAGCGGGAATGGCAGCATAGCTTATCCCGCATCCCGCAACAAGTTGGTGCCCCGGTTGATGAGGCCCATGACCCCATGCCCGACCAACCACCTCCCTCCTACCTCCCTGTGCCTCCCAAGCGGACCCATTATACATGACTCGCGAGGAGTACTTACAGCTTCAGCACTCTGTGGATCAGGTCCACAGTACCATATCACCACCAGATCCTCATAGGGTTGCTGTGAATCTCAATCACACTGCAAAAGCAGCCGTAACGGGTGACGGTAATCACCACAACCGTTACGTAACAGCGTTACGTAAGGGTTGTGGCCGCTTTTTAAAACCTTAATTAGAACATAAAAAATACTCAAAATTACATTGACAAATAAATGACATTGCAAAATTAAAAAATATGTTTTCCCGTAATTATTCATCAGAAAGCAAGGGAAAATAGTAATTTTGGGTTGCTAACATGTGTGGACCACTTGGCGGAAATCTCATTTTTGCACATTATGTAATATGCTTTCATCTAAGGATCCAAATGAGAAATGTCCGTAAATGTTCTTCCTTTTTGATCTCTAGTTCTCTCATCTCCTGCATATGTTCTTCTTTTTTGATCTCAAATATTTTCATCTCCTGCAATGCTTGAACCCTTTTTTCTTCTCTTTCAGTTTTTTTCATTTCATTCTCAACAAGGTGTTGGTCAAATCTCCAACAAATTGTTAAATTTGTGGACTTTAGCTTCAACAACTTGACTTTTCCGAAGCAATTCTTTTATAGATTTCCTACACATAGGCCTTTACCCCTTGTAGAGTACCCTCACCGATTGGATTGTTACCAACACTTGAACTGTTGTCGTCTTCAAGAGAAATGCTCCATAGGGGATTCGGGGCTGAATTAGCCTCTTCATCTGCCCTCTTCTCTCTCTATCTCTCTTCCCCATTTTCAACTTTTTTTTTTTCGAAAAAAGCAATTCGAAACCGTTACGTAATGGTGCGTAACAGGCCGTTACGGCCGTTATGGCACCGTTACGACCGCTATAGCAGCCACTACAGCCGATACACCTGTGAATCTCAATCACACGGCAAAAGCGGCCGTAACGGGTGGCGGTAACGACCACAACCGTTACGTAACGGCGTTACGTAACGGTTGCAGCCGCTTTTAAAACCTTGCCTGTGAACCTCAATCACACTGCAAAAGCGGCCGTAACGGGTGGCGGTAACCACCACAACCGTTACGTAACAGCGTTACGTAAGGGTTTTAGAACATAAAAAATACTCAAAATTACATTGACAAATAAATGACATTGCAAAATTAAAAAATACGTTTTCCCGTAATTATTCATCAGAAAGCAAGGGAAAATAGTAATTTTGGGTTGCTAACATGTGTGGTCCACTTGGCGGAAATCTCATTTATGCACATTATGTAATATGCTTTCATCTAAGGATCCAAATGAGAAATGTCCGTAAATGTTCTTCCTTTTTGATCTCTAGTTCTCTCATCTCCTGCATATGTTCTTCTTTTTTGATCTCAAATATTTTCATCTCCTGCAATGCTTGAACCCTTTTTTCTTCTCTTTCAGTTTTTTTCATTTCATTCTCAACAAGGTGTTGGTCAAATCTCCAACAAATTGTTAAATTTGTGGACTTTAGCTTCAACAACTTGACTTTTCCAAAGCAATTCTTTTGCAGATTTCCTACCCATAGGCCTTTACCCCTTGTAGAGTACCCTCACCGATTGGATTGTTACCAACACTTGAACTGTTGTCGTCTTCAAGAGAAATGCTCCATAGGGGATTCGGGGCTGAATTAGGGGAAAACGGTAATTTCCAAAAGAATTGCTTCGGAAAAGTCAAGCTGTTGAAGCTAAAGTCCACAAATTTAACAATTTGTTGGAGACATTTAACCAACACCTTGCTGAGAATGAAATGAAAAAAAAAAAAACTGAAAGAGAAAAAAGGTACAAGCATTACAGGAAATGAAAGAACTTGAGATCAAAAAGAAAGAGCATTTAACCAACATCTTGCTGAGAATGAAATGAAAAAAACTGAAAGAGAAGAAAAAGGTTCAAGCATTACAGGAGATGAAAAAACTTGAGATCAAAAAAGAACATTTGCAGGAGATGAGAGAACTTGAGATCAAAAAGGAAGAACATTTGATAATAACTACGGACATTTTACATATTACATAATGTGCAAAAATGAGATTTTCACCAAGTGATTCGCTCATATCAGCAACCCAAATTACTATTTCCCCCTTGCCTCCTGATGAATAATTAAAGGAGAATGTATTTTTTAATTTTGCAATGTCATTTATTTGTCAATGTAATTTTGAGTATTCTTATGCTCCAATGTAATTTTGTTTTTGCAATGTAATGTTGACTATTTTTAGTGTAATTTTAATTTTTCAATGTTATTATGAAAAAATACATATATGATTGACATGAAGGCAATAAAGTTGCAAATGAAGACAATTTTATTAAAATAAAAACTTAATCTAACTCACCAGATCAGGACCACAAGTGTTCACAATTAGATCATTACGAATTGCATTATGGGCTTCAGTAGATCTAATACTCTAGCGATTCAACATAAATTGAGCATACTTCTGATTTGGATCGCGTGACACTTGACATGGGGTATTATTAGTGGTATCAATTTGCAGTAGTGCTGCACTGTGTTCATTTTCGGGAATATTACGCTCATCTTCAATGATCATATTGTGCAAAATAATGCACATTTTCATAATGTAGTACAAATCATCACCACTCCAACCTCTGGCTGGAACTCTGACAATATTAAAACGTGCTTGGAGCACTCCAAATGCCCTTTCGACATCCTTCCAACATGCCTCTTGCATCCTTGCAAATAGTTGTCTCTTTAAACCTTGAGGTTGAGATATTGTTCACAATCGTTGCTCGATGAGGATAGATACCATACTATCAGCAAGATAATATCCCATGGTATACGCGTGATTATTGATGGTATAGTTGACGGCAGGGACACTCTAGTTAATTTAGAAAATAAAGACAAGCTGTCAAAAACAGTAATATCATTCAGAGAGCTAGGCATGCCAAATCCATAAGTCATAGGACGCGACTGCCTCGAGTACAACTGTTGGTTTGTGGTAGTCCAGTCTAAGCATTGGCTTAGGCAGTTAAACATTTATCCCAACGCCAGTGCATACAATCTAAACTCCCTAACATTCCATAAAACCCGCGTTGCTTGCCCACTTGCAAGAATCATTCATAGATAGCAACAATCGTTCTGGTAAAGAAATTCAAGGTGGCAATTGCAGTAGTTTCGCCGATTCTGATGTACTCATCTACAGCATTAGCAAATACGCCGTATTATAGGATCCGAAATGCAGCCATTATCTTCTGTACCCCGGATAATCCAGGAGCACCAATGGCATATTGGGTTTGGATGAAGTACTCACTGACTTGTTGAATATCATGTAAAATACTAACAAATAATGATCGTCTCATTCGAAAACGTCTTCAGAAGAATTCTTCTAGATAGATAGAATTATCTGCAAAGTAATATCTACAAATTTGTTCGTCGCCTTTGACCCTCTCACGATTATCGACGACCACTTATGGAACCAACATGTCTAGTTGGTTGATTTAGGTTTAATACTTGTATTCTTTGTTGTTGCACTGTTAATAGTTACATCATCATTATATCATCATCATTCATCAAAATCTCCATTCAAGACGGCTCTAGTGAAATTGTTTTTTGTGGATGGGTGGGTGAATATGAAAATTATAGATAGAAAATTTTATAGGTGGGTACAAAGAGTTTAGAAGATATGAAAATTGGTGGGTGGTTGTTGGTAAATGAATGGTAAATGAAATGGATAGTTGTTGGGTAGGTGGTTGTTGGTGAATGCTTGGTGAATGATGAATGATTGTTGGTAGCTGGTGGCTGGTGAATAAATGTTGGGTGAATAATAGATGGTTGTTGGTGAGTAGTTGGTAATTGTTTATTTTTTAATGTAGTTAATAATATGTATATTTTTTTTTTTAGTGGTATGTTTTTTGGTGGAATGAATTATATTTAATTTTTTTTTCAATTTTTCAATTTTTTTTATTTTTTATATTTTTCTAGTCGGGTATAACGTAAATATATAATTTTTTTTAGAAACAGTTGAAAAAATGTAACAAAAGACAAAATTAAACAAAATATTTAAACAATATCTACAAACTTGGAGAGAAAGTTGGTTAAGATTTGCCAAAATAACATGTGACCATTGGAGCACCATTGCTATAATTTGGCAATTTTGCCAAATTATAGCAACGGCAATGTTATTATAGCAAATGCCATTGGAGATGCTCTTAGCAAAAATAGCTCTCCAGTAGGCTACTATACCAGCTGCCAAGTTTTGGCATTGCCAAATCTGCCAGATAATCATCCCAACTGTTTTTCTTCCTCCCCTCCCCCTCCCTCCCTTCTTCCTTCCCTCCTTCCCTCATTTCTTCCCCAGCAAAACTCCCCCAAACAGAAAATAATTTTTTTTTAACAAAATTCAAAAACAACAACAATCACTAGAAAGACAATAATCAGAAATAATAATCTCAACAGCAACACCAATAATCTAGCAATTTCAGACAAATTTCAATCAATCTCAAACAAAGCAAAAGGAATCTCAACTAATTTCAAGCAATTTCAGAAATATAATTTCACAAAAATAAATACCTTTAATGGGGTTTGAAGTTTCTTCATCTTCTTCACTCAATTTCATCTTCTTTCATCTTGAGAGAGAGATGCCCAGATTGTGAACTTCGAACCCAAATCCCGAGAGATGCCCAGATCCTGAGAGAGAGATCACCGAACCCAAATCAACATCTTAGAACCAGATCAGTAGAGGGTTTGAGTGAGGCTTTCGGTTTCAGATAGGGTTTTGGTAGAGTGAAGAGAGGGTTTCGGTGGAGAGAGAGAGAGAGCGAGAGGTAGATGAAGAGAGAGATGCGATGATCTGCGTCGAACTATGATGAGAACTGAAGAGGGTTGTTGAGGAAAGAGGAAAGACATTGAAGAGAGAGAGACAGAGAGAGAGAGCGAGCGAGCGAGCGAGCCACTCCAAAGGTGGCCAATTCTCTGACTCAGGCATTTTGAATATTTTAGTCCCACATAGGGTGCGTTTTCTACTTCATTCTCTACGGTGCGTTCTCTACTTTCTTCTCAATATAAGGTGAGACGGGTTTAAGTCGTTTTTGATGAATAAAAAAATAATAAAATTTTCTTTCATAAAATGGTTTTCTTAAAGTTATTTTTACTTAACATCTAATTAATTTTAAGTTTATATAAAACGGTTTTTGTAAAATCGTTTTTATTTTTATTAAATTTTTTTTTTCAATTTATAAATATTGTTTGCTTAAAATAATAATTTTATCATAAATACAAAACGGTTTTCAGAAAGCCGTTTCATTATAAACAAAACCCATCCCCTTTTCCCTTTGAACTTACGATAGCCGTTTTTGATATCTAACCCATCTTCTTCTCCCACACTCAGCCGAACTTCGAAGGGAAGACCGACGACGAAGAGAAAGCAACGAACAACGGCCAACAGTACACCACCGGCAAAATGAGGAACACCTTCATCAAACACCCACATTCAGGTTTGTATCGCATAAATGAGGGTTTTCATTTGAGATTTGGGATTTTAAATTTCGAAATTAGGAATTCAGATTTCGAATTTTAAATTTCGAAATCAGGGTCTGTATCGCAAACACCCACATTTAGGATTTTAAATTTCGATTTTCTGTATCTCAGTTCACTGCTTTTTTGTTTATCATATAATTGTTATGATAAGGTTTTTTTTGATCGGGTTTTTTGTTATTTGTAAGATATAATTGTTATGATCAGGTATTTTTTTTTTCCATTAATTGTTGTTGTTTGTTACTTTTGGGTAGTACTTTGTTTGTTTCACTGTGTGGGTGTGCATATGTGATGTCTGTTGTTCAAATTTTGAAATTAAATAAATAGATTTATGAAGAAATCAAATTATATATATACTAAGAACACATGCTAATAATTACAATTAAATTTCAACAGAAATACACAAAACAATAAAAGGGTAAAGAGACGAAACCGAAGCCTGCACGGAAGCAGTTTCCTTAAAACAGATTTCGCCGCCTCACTGGTCGAGTGCTTGAGGAATCCCGGCGTCTGTCTCCCAGGATACGACGGTCAAAACCAGCTACGGTAGAAGCACTCTCTGTCTAGCTTAGCGAACAAAACAGTGGCAGCACTCTCTTACTATAGGAACTTTCAGGCAAACTGACTTGTGAAATGGAAGTAAAAATTTCTGTGTTTGAGACTTGACAGGAGGGTCTCAATTTATACATGTATAGGGGAGAGAGGAAGAGCCTCTAGCCTTTATGGCTATTCATAATGCACCATTAACCTCTGCAATAAAGGCAGGAGTTACAAACCCCATTAATGCAGGAGTTACAAACCCCATTAATGCAGGAGTTACAAACTTCATTACCTTTTTTCCATAAAGCTAACTTCATGAGGTAATTTCTCATTCAAATCTCAATGGTTTTTGGCTATTCTATCTGTGGTGTAAAGATCTCAATGCAAAGTATCTAGACCCACTTGGACCCAACACAATAGATGGTTGGGACCCACTTTAATATTAAATTAAAGTCCCCAAAAATCTTTTTTCCCAACAATGTCAAACTTGGGTTATAAATTGATGTTAAAGAAATCAAATGTGAGAGAAAAATGTGATAATTTTCCCGTGTTCTCTAATAGGATCAAAATTTCATTTCAGTATGTTATTTCGATTAGGTTGGAAATGAAAATAGAATTGGAAACTTTTTCAAACGTTTTGAAAACATGAGAAATAACAAAAGGATTTGAAAGTGTAAGAAAATATTTGGAAAAAAAAAAAACAAAAACTTTTATTGATGTTAATAAATTCTCAATAGTTAATTACTTGAACATGTTGAGTGTTATGAATGTTTAGTTGGATAAAGGGGCTTGCCATTTTAAGAAAAATATATTACAAGAAATTGAGAAATTCTTGTAACAGTAGGCATGGAAAAATAAACAATCGGTGCATTGCTCCTTTATGTTTTGTAGACTACGAGCACAATTGGTAGCTGATTTGTTATCACAATAAAGCCTCAAAAAAAAAATTTTGGTTGGTCTTAATTCTTATGGTGATTTTTAGTTAAAAGAAGTTCAAAGGGTCTATGTGTCATTGATTTGCACTTGACCTAGCATCTGTTTGACTGGCATTTTCTTTACCAAGTTGCAAACATAACCTCTTTATCAATGTAATTAGCCCAATCAAACGGAGTTAAGAAAACAAATGTTTATTCAACAATCCTCAGAGCTTCTTCTAAGCTGAGGTGTTGTAACTCCATGCGTGAATTGATTAGCTGTAGCTACATGAATCTATTAGATTAACGATTGACCCAAAAGCTTAATGTGTTTATGTTTTCAGAAGGCAAGATACTTTTTATTCTTCATGGAAAGTTGGAATTTCAATATTTTATACTATTGTTTCAAAGTGAACAATTGTGGCCATGGTAGTTTAGAGTTTGAACTTGTGAACAATTTAGGATTTTCCTGTTGGAAGTTCTTAGGTTGTTATAGTATGAAAAATTAGGGCTTGTAAAATTAGGTTCTTATAGTATGAAGAATTAGTTTAGTAGAGTTTTTCTGTATCAAAGGCCTATTGGTTATAATGTCTTACATGGATGGTTCAATACATGAAGATGAAATGAGAAATTATGGCGCGCACAGTGAGGTTGTGGGAAGAGTTCTTACAGTATGTGCATGCTATTTCATAGAATGTGAAATTAAAAAAAATCAAAGTATGAAAGCAACTACACACGAAACACATGACGAAAACGAGTTTGATAAACCTGAACAAAATGTCAATTAAAGATATGGAAAAGGTTCTTTCAAAGCATTTGAAAACACCCACCCATGAAAGCCCCAAAAAAAGAGTTTTAATTGAAAAAATTATTTTAAAAAATAATAATAATACCAAAGGGAAAGCATAACAACATAAAACAAAGAGTAAAGGAAAACATAAGCTCGTAAGAAGGGATGAAGAAATCATGACAAATCACAACAAAAGAATTCAAATGTTAATTCATGATAATTGGAGAAATGATCCCACACATGATTTTTTGTTTAAATGTACAAATAGATAATCCTTCTAAATAATACAAGAAATATAAGTCATATAGGATGCTATTATATATGGAGCAAATAACTTTTATTTCCATGTTCACGTCGATATGCCACTTAAATATTTTGTAATACCAAAAGACCCATGCCTAAAGGCACTCCTGTGTAATATATGTGGTGTTTGCTCTCAAATGTACTTACGTTATTATTTTGAAATAATTGAGTTACTTTGAATGCAAAGTTTAGGTATGGAAGTTGTGAGCATTATGTTCTATTGGGGTGGAAAGATTTTGCGCAATCGCGATGAAGGTGTGTCGTACGACACCGAACCTCAGGGGTTGTATAATGTGCAAAGGGGGATAACATTGGGCGAGTTGGAGGCTATGATGGTGCTGAAGGTTGGTACGCATGGGGAAATAATGCGATTAGAGTTTAAATGTAGACACCCATGTCGGGGGAAGTATAGGTTGCTGCCAATCAAAGATAATGAGACCTTAAGTAATGTCTTAGAGCTCCCACATATATTAGGCCCTAATTATTTTTTGGAAATCTATATGGAGAAGGAGAGCAATTTTAGTGGCACAAAGATGCCAATTTCGGTGGGTGGGACATTCACTCAAATATTGACACAATCGCAATCTCCTGACAATACACTTATACAGTCTGCACACATGTTCCCTGAAGATTACCCTCTATTCAATCATTCTCAGAGTTACAATCAATTAAATGCATCACAGAACGTAGATGGTTATTACAGTGCCGGAGCAGGTCCAAGTGCTCCGACAACGTATAATCCGATGGTTCTTACAACCCCATATCTGTCACGACCCAAACCCGTCCCTATAGGTTTAGCATCGTAACCGGCCAGTAATCCTTGGATTACCGAAGGCCTCTGAACAGATTAACAAGATTAAGGGGTTAGCGGAAGGTAATACATGAATATAGTTGTCTAATGAGCTGTGCTGACTTATATGAAAAGGAATATTTAAAAATTTTATATACATAATCAAAAGTCATTCATACATTATACCCACACACATTAAAGTATCTTAAGTACAGCCAACAGAACAACCGAGTCTTATATATACAGAAACAACAGAACTTAAACACTTGAGACACTCCAGGAACCTCCACGTGAGGCACAATAGTTGGCTGACAACAGAATACAGATCCAGACAAAAGCCTTCAGGCTCGATCTCCAGAATGCTCACCTATACATATATATACACACAGTGAGCTAAAGCCCAGTGAACAACATTAAGGTAAAGAGGTTAGTGAACGAATTCCAAACATATCATAAGCGTAAACCAAAACATAGCATAATCATTCTCGTATCAGAACATAATAATGGTACATCCCATAGAACACATCACAGAACGTCTTCCGACTAGAGTAATCGATTCCGGATACCGATTAAACACATATCACCACAATGAAGTGACTAACGAGATCTCGTAATTACTTGTATGTCATGGACCCGCATTTTCATGCCGTTCCCTATGACTTGGGACTATCTATGGATGCCATAATAGATTTCAAACATGGAATATTCATTCACGAAAACAGATATCATTTCAGAAATCACAGCTTATCATATTTCATTTAGAACATAATTCATATGAACGTATCTTTACGATAACGTTAGTCACAGTGGTTCTTGTAAGCGGTCAATCAATCCTCGAGTCTTGACCTACAATCACAAAATACATAACACAAGCATGTCTTATCATTACACATTCAAGTGGCCATTAAGGCTTAGCCTTCATTACATTGGTTCTTATTCTTTCTTATCACATTGCCTAAAACACACACATTTACAGTCTCGGAACTTAGTACATTCTTGTTCTTAGTGTGTTTCTAATCTATAACCTCATTACTATGGCTTAATTAAGGCTTAGGAATGCCTAAGATGCAATGAGGATGCCAAAACATGCCTTGGAACACTTAGGAAAATTTCTAAAAATAAGGT